CGAAATGCACAGTGTCACAAAGAAACCAATCACATGGTGATAAAATCATTAAAATTTTATAAAACCAAATTTGTGATAGAGTAGCATTATGCTCCTTTACCAATGCATTCAATCATGAGATTTAGCAGTGAGTCTAATACTGCTGCGATTTTGAATTAATATACATGATATAAATGTGTATGTACACACATGACTGATATGTAGTACTGGGGATTGAACCCAGGGCGTTTAACTTTTGAGCCACATCCCCAGCCCTTTTARAATATTTTATTTAGAGACAGGGTCTCACTGAGTTGCTTAGTGCCTCACTAAGTGGCGGAGGCTGGCTTTGAACTCACGATCCTCTTGTCTCAGCCTCCCGAGCCACTGGGATGACAGGCGTGCGCCACCGCACCTGACAATGTTTTAAAGTACTTGTAAGGACGGCAATGTGATGGCTACTGGTGACCGTGGCAGGYCTGTTAACGACCTCCACTGGTGGCCTGCATTCACATAGAAAGGAACGTTGCCGTCAGAGGTCCCRTTAGYCATTTTTCTGTTACTGTAACAGACAGTTAAGGTCACCAACTTATAAAGAGGAAAGGTTTATGCCAACTCACATTTTTGGAGGTTCTCGTCCATGACCTACTGTGCCGGTTGCTTTGGGGCCTGTGGTGAGGCGGCACATGGTGGGGGCAGCGTGTGACGGAGCAGAACCTCTCACCCTGTGGTCAGGGAAGCAAAAAAAGACGGAGAAGAAGGGCTAGTGCCCATCACTCCCTTCAAGGGAGGTCCCTAGTGACCTGAAGACCTCTCCCTGGGCCCCACCACCCCCGTAGGGCCATGTGGGGAGCAGCCCGTGCCGTGGGCCTTGGTGGGACACCTAAGATCCAGGCTGTGGCAGAGGTTCGTTTTTCTTTAGCTCCTTTATTTACTGACTTTGTTTTTCGGTGCCGGGGGTTGAACCAGGGGCTCTGACCCCTGAGCCATACCCCAGCGCTGTTTTGTATTTTATTTGGAGACAGGGCCTCACTGAGTTGCTTAGTRCCTCACTGTTGCTGAGGCTGGCCTTGAACTCTCAGTCCTCCTGCCTCAGYCTCCCRGGCTGCTGGGATGACAGCGTGCAGCCCCGCTCCTGGCTTTTCTGACCCCTGTCCAGGCCTCCTTGCCTCCACCCCAGCATGTCTCCAGCTGCCGCTGTCCYGGCCTCTGTCTGGCCTCAGTCTGGCCTCTGTCTGACTCGGTGTAACCCCATGGAGCCTCATACACAGCCTGATTTATCCCTTTAGGAGTAAAAATGGACCCACCGGTTCTCCTCTAAGTGTTGACTTGCTCCAGCTGGGGCTGAGCCAGCCGGACGGTGACCAGATGTTTCCTGAAGGACACCAGGTGCCGGGATGCTTCCTGGGGCCTCCTGCTTCCCAGCGGCTGCCTGGGGTTCGGCCTCTCCCTGCAGAGGAGGCGGCTGAGCTCCTGGACTCGGGGGGGGGGGGGGGGGGGGGACTCTGGGTCTGGGTGGCTGGATGGCTGGATGGCGGGCTCCCCTGCCGCCTGCTGGAGATGCTGCGAGGTGGCCAGCCTCAGCTCTGGGCCGGGCCCCTGGCCTGTGCAGGGCACCCTTCCTGGCCCCACCACAGCCTTGTTTAGCCGAGACCATCCTGATTGACAGCTGGGCCCTCTGCTTCCTGGCTGGGCTGGGCTGGTCCTGGGGAAGGGCTATAATTAGCAGGAGCAGGGATCCTGCTGCCTGGGGCCAGCCATTCTGTGCTCTGATGGATAAAGTGGTGTCACTGGAGACGTAAATATCATCTGGAAACTTTGAAGTTCCTGGGAAGGTTCTGCGGGCCCCTGTCCACCCCTCTGTCCCCGAAGCCCTGTGTGGACCAGGATCCCCGGTGGACCCTGCTGTGAGGGAGCCACGCGGGGTTTGCCTGCAGGACAGGAGGAGCGGGCTGGTGACAGCTCCGTGCACGGAGGGGGGGTCTTYGCATGGGCCCTGGGAGCCTGTCCGGTGGCTTCCGTGGTCTGGAAGTGTCACCAGGCGAACCAGCAGGGAAACGCGGTGCTCCCTGACGGGTGGGATCAGACCAGGGGTGGGCTTCGCTTCCTGCCCGCAGAGCCGTCTGGAGGGGCCGGCCCTGGGGAGCCTGCAGGATCAGAAGGGCCCCCGATGCCCTCCTGGTTTCCAGCGCTGGGCACCTCACRGCAGGGACAGGGCCGGGCAGGAAGGGGCCGATGGGGGGTGGGGGAGACACCAGATGTCCTCGTCCTGCTGGGGAAGAGGGACCCTTTCTGCAACAGGAACCAGGTCCCGGGGAAGGGGTCGATCTGGAGGTGATAGGATGGAAGCCTTGTGGGGTGCAGGGGCAGGGGACAGTCCCGCTTTCCATCCAGATGGAGGGACCCCCCTCAGCGGGGCCTTTAGATGTCTGCCTGGCTCCACGCCTGGGCTCGGGGGGYTTCAGGCTCCGTGGGGTGTTCCGCGGGGACCTGGGGTCCTTGGTGGCCGGTCCCTGGGCCCTTTGTGTACTCAGGTTAGGGTTTAGGGAGTGACTCCTCGTCACGAGGGTCACTTGGAACCAGGGATCTGGCCTTTTGAAGTCTGCTTGCTGTCATTCTCRGAGGACCTGGGGGGCCCAGGCCGGCCTTGAGCCACGGTTTTTACCACGTTCTGGGTTTTTTTTTTGGCACCAGGGATTGAACCCAGGGACACTCAACTGCTGAGCCATGTCCCCAGCCCTTTTTAGATTTTRTTTAGAGACAGGGTCTCGCTGAGTTGCTTGGGGCCTCAATAAGCTGCTGAGGCTGGCTTTGAACTCTCCATCCTCCTGCCTCAGCCTCCTGAGCTGCTGGGATTGCAGGCGTGCGCCCCCCCGCACCCGGCATGTTCTGGGTTTTGGAGCACGAGGGACCGTGCCCTGGAGAGAGGCCTCGAGAGTCAACAGGCAGCACCTGGCCATGAACTACWGCAGGGTGCTGGGCCCAGGAGGGGGTTTCCTGGTGACCCTCAGTGGCGTGTCTCCGTGGGAAGCCCTCTTTGTGTGACTCTGGCGTCCCCGTGGCTTGTCAAAACCTGGGAGGAAGCAGGCCCTTCCAGTCAGGATAGCCTTGGCCTGTGCAGAAGGAGGCCAAGGGGATGTGACGCTCAGCAGGGGGCCTGTTACATCTACCCCTGTAAGTCAGCTCAGGCAGCCTCTCAGTGGCCGGATGGTGACACTGGGAAAGCTATGGCCTTGGCACATCTTGTCAATGCCGCCTGTGTGTGTCCCTCACCTCCTATACTCAGACCTTCACTGATAACACCAAGGCTTCTGGTTACTCTCCCATGAGGCCTTGAGCTCAGTGGAGAATTCCGTCATCTGATTTCCCCCATCCTCTGGAAAGTCAGGATCCTTGGACAGGAAGGAGATTGGGTAAATAGGGTCTGACTCAAACCCGAGAGTGGGTGGGAAAGCCCAGCTCTGGTTCATACAAGTCCTTGATGATAAATATCTGTTGTAGTTTGCCAGTGTCAGGAATGTCAGGGTGCTGGAACAATAAAAAGAAATCCTCCTTGGCATGGAGCTTATGTTCTGGTGGAGAGGACAAAAATAAATAAGTAAATAAAAATAAAGGAAATAATGTTGTATGTTAAATACTGATAAATACAAAGGAGGGAAATGAAACCGGAAAAAAGGGACTTTCCACTTCTAAATAAGGTGTCCAGAAGGCCTCAGTGAGCCGGTGACCGTTGAGCAAAGATGGAAGGACATGGGGCTTGAGCCACGTGGGTGTCAGGAGAAAGCGCATTTCAGGTAGTGGGAACTACCTGTGCAAAGGCCCTGGGGTGAGCACATAAGGTGTGTTTGGCAGCAGCGAGGAGCTTGGGTTTTCCTGATGGTGAATGACAGTGTGCGTAGTAACAGCGTGGATCATCTCTCCGTTGTCAGAAAACTTGAGAACAAGGGACTTATTTTAAAATCCCCTCAAAATTCCTCGTTTCAACCTTCAGCCTTCCTTCTGGTCATCCTGAAAGTAAATTCCTCTGTTTCCCCTTCGATACCCTCACCCTCACCTCCAGGGCTGCCGTAGCATCCAGGGACCACCATTAAGTCCCTCAGACTGGGTTTCCCAGCCATCTGGAGGTCGGAAGTCCCAGGTCAAGGTGTGGACAGGGCTGGCTTCCTTGGGGTCCTCCCTGTGACGTGTAGCGACTCTTCCCRTGTCTCCCCGTGGTCTGTGGGTCTGTGCCACAACCTCTGCGTAGAAGGACACGGGCGTGTTGGAGGGGGCCACCCCATGACCTCGCTGTGACTTAGTCACCACTTTAAAGGCACATCTCCAGTCACAGTCTACRGCTCTTCAGCAGAGGGATCTGGGGGTCCCAGTTCAGCCCATAATGGTGTCCCCCAGGGGCAGCCCCCAGGGGCMGGTACCACAGCCCTGGACGGGCTCTTCATGGGGAGGTCAGCCCCTCTCCCCTCTCCCTCCCTCCCTGCCTCCCTCCCTCCCTCCCTGACTTTCTTTTTTGGGGTGGGGGACGGGTCCTGGAGATTGAACTCAGGGGCCCTGGACCACTGAGCCCCCTCCCCCGCCCTCTTCTGTATTTATTTAGAGACAGGGTCTCGCTGAGCTGCTTAGCACCTCGTTTTTGCTGAGGCTGGCTTTGAACCTGCGATCCTCCTGCCTCAGCCTCCCCAGCCGCTGGGATGACAGGCCTGCGCCACTGCACCTGGCTCCCTCCCTGACTTCTTTTTTTGTTTTTGGTCCTGGGGATCGAATCCAGGGGAGCTGAACTACTGAGCCACACCCCAGCCCCCCACACACACCCACACCCACACACACACCCACACCCACACCCACACACTCACACACATCATATTTATTTTAAAAAAATCTAATTTAGAGACAGGGTCTCTAAAGTTGCCCAGGGCCTCCCTGAGGCTGGCTCTGAACTTGAGACCCTCCTGCCTCAGCCCCCTGAGCCTCTGGGGTCGCAGGCGTGACCCCGGGCCCAGCTCACTCCCTGCCTCCTGCTCCAGCTCATCGGGGCCCTGGTGCTGTCTGTGGGGATCTACGCCGAGGTCGAGCGGCAGAAGTACAAGACCCTGGAGAGCGCCTTCCTGGCGCCCGCCATCATCCTCATCCTCCTGGGCGTCGTCATGTTCCTGGTCTCCTTCGTGGGCGTGCTGGCCTCCCTGCGGGACAACCTGTACCTCCTCCAGGCGGTGAGTGAGCCTGGCCTCTGCCGGGAGGTGGTGCTGGGGGGTCCCTGGGGTCTCCAGGAAAGCCCAGGAGACACCCCCAACCCCGGGTCCTGGYGCAGCTTGGTTTCCTCCGTCCACACCACCAGGCGGCTTCTCCCGAGGACCCCCTGGGCTAGCCCACAGGACGTGGTGGCCAGGAGAGCCCGGGCCACCCCGTGTGCTTATCAAAGCTGGCCTGAATGCTGCTCTTGCCCCTTGAACTGTTCCTCTCGACCTCAGTTGCAATAGGAGAAGCCACACTCAGGGGACAACGGGCAAAGCCAGACAGGAGCATCAGCTCATGCGACCCGCGGACCACGCTGGGGGTGGGGGTTAGCGGTGCCCCTGGGTAGGGCTGGGCCGTCTCTCTGGCCACCTCYCAGGGGACGGCTCCTGCCTAGCGCTGTCCTCTGGCTCTCTGTGTCGGGGTCACTGCAGCCTCRGGCCACAGAGTCCTTAGAGTGCTGGATCCCAGGCATCTCTCCTGGCTGACTCTCAGGCTCTGGTGGCCTGGCTTGGGTCATGTCACATGGGGAGGGGCAGGGGGTGGCGTCAGCCCCACCTGAATCCCTGTATCGAGGGTGGGGACCATCCAGGTAGCAGATCCTAGCAGATCCACCACTGCACCCTCGAGTGTCCGCCTCCGCTGGGAGGCTTCCCGTCCGTCCCACACACAGGGGCTGGGCCGGCCCGAGGCTGGAGGTGCTGGCATCAGCTGGAGGTGGCCTGTTCTCCGCTGAAGGGGTGGCATCAGGTGACCCCTGGCCACTCTGGGTGGATTGGGAAGCCCGCCCATGGAGCCAGGGCTGTCCCCTGTGGCCAAGCTGGAGTGAGCCCAGCTGTCCTCTTGGTAGAGTGGGGACCTAGACCACCGAGACCCCAATGAGGACCGTGGGACCAAAGGGGGTGACAGCCTGCTTGGGGCAGCTGAGTCAGTCTTCCTGCCTCCTGGCCCCAGAGGCGGGCCTCCCGGGCACAGCTGAGCGGATCCCGAGTTCTCCCTGGAGGAAAGGCCGAGGCCAGGGAGCCCCGGAGCTGCCACAGGTGACACTCCCTGTTGATGWGCTTGCTCTCGGAGCAGAAGAAGCTGAGCCCCAGGCACGTCCCCGCCCACCCCAGGTGAGTCTCTGAATTTTGTCTTCCAGTTCATGTACATCCTTGGCATCTGCCTCATCATGGAGCTCATCGGTGGCGTGGTGGCCTTGATCTTCCGGAACCAGGTGGGCCTGGGGATTTACTTACCAGCTACCTGTGTGCTGTGCACCTACTGTGTGCCCCGGGCTGTCAGCGGGGGCTGCAGCARACAGGGCAGACCATCCTCACGGGGCTTCCACTCTGCTGGGGACGAGGAAACAGGTGACCTGAGAGACCCAGGGGTGGCRTGGGGGAGGACAGGGCCACAGAAGGAGAGGAGCCAGGCATGGCCCGGGCAGAGGGGGCTGAGCAGAAATGAGCTCTCAGGTTTGCAGAGCCTCATGGAGACTGCTTGGCTGATTGGATGGGGGATGGGGAGGGGGACAGAAGTGGGGGCTGGGAGGCCTGTCTGGGGACCACAGGGGCCCTCAGAGGCTGCAGGTTGGGAGCTCAAAATGTTTTTAAAAGCCGCTGGGAGCCTTTGGAGAGTCTCAGGGATGGATGAGGCCTGATTTGATTTGACTCTGGGCTCCAGGTAGAGGATGGTGGGGGACAGGCAGGGCTGCTGGAGGAGACCAGCTAGGGGCTTTGGTGGCCAGGGCAGAGGGGCTGGCGGCTGGGGGGGCGGGAAGCCTGGACTGAAATGGTGGGGTTTGGTGTGCGCTTTGGAGGCGGCCCCGACAGGGCTGTTGTGATGGGTATAAAAGCGAGGCCGTTTGAGGGGTGGTGCCTGACGTCCTGGCCCCGTGGGTTTGCAGAGCAAGGGCCCAGCCAAGCTAGGGAGGTTCATGGCTCTTGGTCTCCGATTCCCTCGTGTTAGTCTCCAGGCAGGTCTACACCCTGGGAACCAAGGGTCTGCATTCTGTTGGGTGAGCCTCAGGACAGGGCATCATCAGTGCACAGAGAGGTTAAGAAATTCTTTCAAGAGCACATAGCGGACAGAGGCGGCTCAGGGCTACATGAGTTCAGTCTTGCCACCTGCTCCTCCCCTTGCTTCTTTGGTAATTTCCGGATCATCTGCTCTGAGCTGGCAGACCCAGGACACTGGGAGAGCCATGGTCATTCCATCTGTGCAGGCCGCAGGGCCCCTGGCTGGCTCGGGATCTTCTCGGGGTTACGGGTCAGTGTTTTCCAGGCCAGAGCCCAGTCCAGCTCCTGGCCAGCAGCCTCTGCCACCTTAATAACCAGTCCCCTCCTCAGTGAGCAGCGGTCTTAGTTCCGGCATGCTTGGCCAGGCAGCTGGCTTTGTCATTTCCCAGTGTCCGGGAGGTCGACAAGGCCATGCTGTGGCCTCCTTTCAAGTGAGGGAGCCGAGCCCACTAAGGGCCCTGGGGCCTCCTGGGGCCTCCCGCCCTCTGCTCGGGAAGCACAGGCCTGAGGTCACTGGGAGAATTTCCAGCGGTCCCCAAGCCTGGCAGGAGCCACGGCCTGTGGAGCGTGTCCTTCTCCTTTGATTGGGTGTCCCCTGGGGCCTTGGTGGGCAGGGGCTGTGCTGCGTGGAGGTGGGGAGGGGCATGGAGAGAATCAGCTCAAAACCAAAATCAGTTTCTCCTCGTGTGTCCTGGAGGCCCAGGTCCCCCCTATGACCCCGGTGTGAGGGTCCCCCCCCCCCCATGCCACACGTTCAGCCATCGGTTGGTCGTGGACCCCAGCGGGGTGTCCCATAGCACAGTTCAGTGTTGAGCCGTCTACCTGGAGGTAGCAGGGGACTCCACAGGCTGAGGGCTCCGTGCCCAAGACTGTCCCCTCCCCTCAGATGCCAGTCACAAGTCCCAGGTGGTTCTGCGTGTGCTTCTGACCAACCAGCTCCCCATCGGGGTCCCACAGCCCCCCCTGCAGGCCAGCAGGTTGCTGGGGAAGCTCGCGGGGCTCCGGGGGCGTGGGTGCTGGCTTAGGGGACAGTAGGAAGGAGGGACGTGCACAGGCGAGGTCTGGGGGAAAGGGCGCGGAGCCCCAGCCCTCTCGGGTCCCCCCGCAGGGCCTCGCTGTGCCCCGCTCTCTGGAGGCCTCTGAACCTGTCCTTTGGGGYTCACGGAGACGCTGGTGCGTGGGCACCGTGGAGAGTGGCGGGTGGGCACCCAGCGAGGCCTGTGCGTTCTGACTTCCAGCGTGGCTCCCTCAGGGGAGTGGGCAAGACCCCTGGAATGAGGAGGGTGTGGTGACCTGCGTCACACCTGGGTAGGTTGGAGGTGTCTTTGTGTCCTCGAAAGATGGGGGAAGATTCGAGTTCCTATGGCCTGCGTCAAGGAGAAGGAGTTCTCGTTGTGTGTGTGTGTGTGTGTGTGTGTGTGTGTGTGTGTTGCACTGGGGTGGAACCCACGGGTGCTCTACCACTGAGCTTCACCCCCTGCCCTTCTTATTGCATTTTGAGACAGGGTCTCACTGAGTTGCTGAGGCTGGCCTTGAACTTGAGACCCTTCTGCCTCAAGCCTCTGGCGTAGCTGAGATCATCAGTGCCCACGGCCACGCCCGACTCAGAAATCCCAGCTCCGCTGACCTCCCGCGGGGAGGGAATACTAAATATCCACATACAAGTAAAAGTACAACAGTCTCCTGGTATCAGAGAGCTGGAAGGCAGCTTAGAAAGTGTTCAAGGCAGCCAGGTCGGAGGTGCACGCCCACGACCCAGAGACCAGGGGAAGCCGGGGCGGGAGGAGCGCAAGTTCTAGGCCACCTGGGCGATTTTAAGTAGTCTTTATTTATTTATTTATTTTTTTAATTTTTATTTTTAATTTTATTTTTTTAAGTTCTCGGCAGACACAACATCTTTGTTGGTATGTGGTGCTGAGGATCGAACCCGGGCCGCACGCATGCCAGGCGAACGCGCTACCGCTTGAGCCACATCCCCAGCCCCAGTAGTATTTATTTTAAAATAAAAACTAAAAAAGGATTGGGGATGTAGCTCAGTGGTAAAGTGTTCCTGGAGTCCATCCCTGGTACCCAATAAATAAATAAATAAATAAATGATGATGATGATGATAATAATAATAATAATAATAACAGCAATGGGGATAAATAAAAATATTAAAGCAGGATTCAAAATCACAAATGCAATAAAAAATCTTCACAATAAAAAAAAATAGGTCTGGAAAAGACTGAAGGGAACAGAACTAGGAACATATTAATACAGCCCTTGAAGGGTGGGATGCCCCTCTATTTTTTCCCTAGTTCTCAGATTTTCTTTTTTGTTTTTTAAAGTTAAAGGGAAAAACACCACATTAACAAACAAACAAACAAACAAAAAAAACACTGTTCCATCGAGCGCAGTGGCACACGCCTGTATCCCAGCCGCTCGGGAGGCTTAGAAACGAGGATGGTGAGTTCAAAGCCAGCCTCAGCAACAGCAAGGTGCTAAACAAGGCAGTGAGACCCTGTCTCTAAATAAAATAGAAAATAGGGCTGGAGGTGTGGCTCAGTGGTCGAGTGCCCCTGAGTTCAATCCCCAGTCCCTCCCTCCATCCCCCCAAAACCACTGTGCTTTACAACCCTTAATGCAACATGACTTTGTAAGGCAAGAGACGGGCCAGTCTTGGGGACACGGCAGGAGGGCTTGCCTGTTGATGGTAGGAAGGCGGAAAGATCAGCGAGGAGCAATCCAGGCCAGCTTCCAAGAGGAGGTGGGTTCCCRGTTCCATGTTTCCCTTCAAGAGATTTCTCTGAGCCACCATATAACAAGAAGACACGTGTGGTGACAAGTGAGAACAAATGATCAGGCTGAGGATGCCACGTGGGTTCTCAGGGAGGGGCTCAGACAGTGGCCAAAAATCAGCTCTTGGTGAAAGGCAGGGACTCCTCAGCGGGAGCYGGGCAAGGCCTCTGCCGCTGGCCCCGAGCTTGTGGGGGATGGAGGGGAGCAGCCAGGCACAGGGGCAGGGACAACGCAGGTTTCAGAAGCCCAAGTGGCTGTGGCACCTTGACCAGGCGGGTGGGAGGAGGACCCTGTGACCCCCCACCGTCCAGGTCTTGCCCCTCTGGACACTTGCTGCCTTCCGCTGAAGGATGTCGGTGGTGGGGCACCTGRAGCGCCCTGGGCTATGGCYGGAATGTCTGTCCCCGTGCYAGGCCTCCTTCCCTCTGCCTCTGCYCAGTGAGGGCAGTGGCCTCTCTCTTCCTCTCCGTTGAAGGAGGGCTTGCCCAGCGCAGGGCCAGTGAACCGTTTGGAGCTGCGGCCTGCCTGTCCACCTGGTACCTGCGCTGGCTGTGGACACACCCCGAGGTCGGGCAGGAGGACTAGACCGCGCCACGGCTCCCTCAGCTGAGCCCCTCAGCACAGGGACCCTTCCCCAGAGCCAAGCTGCTGGGCTCCGGGTGGGAGAGGCTCTGAATTGGCCTGGCCAGACTCCCCCACGGGCGGACCTACTGTGGGGCCGCTGGGGAGTGAGGGCTGGAGCCCCAAGTCCCTGGGACACTGAAGCATAACCTCTCCCCCCYACCCAGGGACCAGCCTGTGACTCCCAGACGGACCCCAGGGAGCCTCGGGCCAATGTTCCCCGAGAGCCTCTCAGCTCTGATCCCGGGATTCTCTTCTGTCCTGGGTTGTCAGACTGGGCCTCTGTCAGGACTGGGCAGAGACTGGGGTCTGGGGCAATGAGGATGAGTCCCCACCTTCTAGGGGGACTGGGGGACATTCAGAGGTGACTGCATAGGCGCTAAGGGAGGATGGAAGCCCAGGCCAGGCTGCCCCTCCTCCAGGAGCTGAGGCCCAGGTGTGCAGCTGGGCTGTCAAGACCAGGCCTCCCCAGCCTTTGGTCTCAAGGCTAATAAGGAAGTGCAGGAAGCCTTGGGCAGCCTGCAGGGCCCAGGACGGCTCTGTCCCCGCAGGGCAGGCTCCTGCTAGGCTCTTTGCTCTTCCCTGCTGCCAGGGAGCTGCAACCTCTGTGATTCCTCATCATTTAAAAACCTTCCAGCCAGGCAGGTGGCACACGCCTGCAATCCCAGTGACTTGGGAGGCTGAGACAGGAGGATCGAGAGTTCAAAGCCAGCCTCAGCAACTTGGTGAGGCCCCGAGTTACTCAGTGAGACCCCGTCTCTAAATAAAATATGAAAAGGGGCTGGGGTTGGGGCTCAGGGGTTGAGTGTCTCTGGGTTCGATCCCTGTACTTTCCTCTCTCCAGGGAGGGTGATGCAGAGGTTCTACAGYTTGAAAACTCCATCGCAAAGAAAGATCTAGAAAGGACAGTTCTTTGYCTTTATCTGGTGGCAGCAACAATGTGCTCTGGAAGCCCCTCGGCCTCCGGCCTTCACTTACCCCTGACATAACCTAGTCAGGACCTCCTGAGCCGGTGGTGCTCGGGAAAGGTGGCTTTCCCCTGGTGTGACCGGGCTCGGAGCCGGGCTCGGGTGGCCTCTGGGTGTGGCTGCAGAAAGCCGAGTTCTCTCTGGCTGCCACACTCCCAGGGCACGTCCTCCGACTGGCTCGAGTCCCTTGGAGCATGCCGGGTGCTGGTGACATCAGTGAGCGCTGTACAGTTCAGAAAGGCACAGCCTGCCCCCGCCCGGGACTTCCTCCCTCACCCCCCCCAGCTGCCCCTCCAGTGTCCTGCGTAAGTCCCCAGTGTGCTCATGTGCAAACACACACGTACACACGTGCACTCACAGTGCCAGAAGCAGTGCACGCTCACTAGAGCCAGCCTGACCCAGAGAGCTCCCTCCTGGGAGCTGGGCAGCTGCTGCCCATGGGCAGGACCATCTGTCCCTCCCACGACTCCCAGGTCCCCAGAGGCCTCYAGCAGGGCTCCTTTCCCGCAGGGCAGCTCAGTTTCCATGTGGATTTCCACAGAGGCCTCCCTTGGGGTCAGTGCCCTGGGAAGGCACTCAGTGACAGGGTGGGGAGAGGCCGGGGAGGGAGCCCAGAGAGCCAGGAAGGACCTTCCCTTGGGGCCACCAGCCTCCCTCTGCGCTGTCTTCCTCCTGCCCTGGCCTCCTGGCTTGTCCACCTGTTGCCAGTTCTCAGGGGTCCAAACAGCCCAGTGGCCCAGGAGGGTGTCCCTAGTGCCCTGAGGGTGGAAGGAAGCCACACACCACATCCCCACCCTGTGGCCCCAGGCAWGTACCTGACCTGGTGTCACCAGGCACGCAGCTCAGCCAAGTGCCCCTGGCACAAGTCACTCGGTGCTGTGAGCTCATTCCCCGGCCCCACCTGGGGTGACAGACTGACCACCCTGGTGTCCCGTTACGTCGCCATCCCCTGCCAGGCCCCGGCCAGTTGGCCTGGCCCTTCACACCCAGATGGACGTTGGAAAGGCTTCGTCACTTGGGGGCCTCTGGGGAGGGTGGGCCTGTGGCCAGGCYGGTCCTCGCTCCGCCTGGGCTGAGTGGTGAGCAGGCAGCTGGTCCAGCCGCCCCTGCCCCGGGGTCCACGGCCAGACCCAAGGGGCCAAGCAGGCGGTGAGTTCAGAGCCTCGCCCACAAGGCTCTGCCTTCCCTCCTGGGGCGAGGAGCTGATCAGCAGCAGAGGGCACAGCCCTTGCTTCCCAGAGCCAGGCTCCTGCATCACCGTGGCTTTGAGCAGGAGGTGGCCATCTTGGAGAGATGACCTCAAATCTGAATCTTGYGTTCTTCACTTGGTACCTTAAAGTGTCAAGCGGGGAGTTTGACCCCCTGGCGTCAGCATCTTCGCCCGGGTCCAGTAGGACAACAAAGCTGCCGTTGCTCTTCCTGCTTTATAGAGGAGGAATTGGAGGCCCAGAGAGGCTGACTGACTTGCCTGCAGTCACAGAGCAGGGAGTGGGGGTAGGAGGATTTGAGCTGCTGGGCAGGTTGCATCTCTCTGTGGGCCCCAGGATGCCTGCGAGGATGACCCTGGGACTCSGCCCCAGAGGCTGCCYGTTACAGTGGGTCTTTTGGATGAGAGTCGGGGCCTCCGTTGCCCTGCTGTGACCACGGTGTGGAGTGACTCACGAGGCGTCTGTCTCCTGGAAACAGTAGTGAGCCGCGTGCGTGTCCTGCTAGACGCGTCCAGAGCTTTAGTTGATCTAATCTCACGGCCTCTTTATAAGCCAGAGGTTGGCCTCTAGATTTTGGAGGTGAGGAAATGAAGGCTTGCAAGTCACTGTGCCTGCCGTGGGGTGGCCGGGGCTGTCCCCTGGACCAGGAGGCTGGACGGTCGAGGCCCTGGACTTCGATCTTCAGATCTGGAAGGTTCCTTGAGGGCAGCCTACAGGTTGGCTTACACGTGGGAGACTGAGGCTCAGAGAGGGGACGTGAGCTGGGATGGGCCTGGAACCTGGCCCCGCTGTCCCCCTGTACCCCGTGGCCCTCCTGTCCCTCTGTACCCTGTGGCCCCTGCCCCGGGAATCGTCTGGCTCCTCTCTCTGGCACTAGAGCCAAGAATGCCCCTTTGTCCCCGGCCTCTGCYGGCCCTCGCCTCAGTGCTGTGAAAGCTCTGATTGTCCCTGGAGCCCTGGAGCCRGGCTGCCCACACTGCCACCCCCGCCCCTGCCTGCTGTGGGCCCTTTGTGTCCTGGATCTCGGCACAACCGGCTGTTGATCTAGCGTGACCRGGAGGGGGGCATGCCAGCACACTTCCCGGGAGGACTGTCCCTGCCCCGCTGGCCGTGGGCACCACAGAGAGGGACGGAGGCCCAGGCGGGGGGATTCCAGGGTGGCCAGCCCTGGTCAGCGACCCTGTGACTCCCTGCCCACCCTGTGCTCCCTGCTGGTCCCTTAGTGTCCTCCTCTGTGAGGAGGATGGGGGCCTAGGGGAGGGGTTTGGAAGGCCGAGGAAGGTTCCAGCTCAGGTCTGTCCCTGGGCCATCAGCATGGGGCTGGRGGCCAGTGTGCCCCGGGCCCAGCTTGCCCTTGAGTGCCTCCAAGCTGGGCCCAGCCTCTCAGGCCTGGGCCGGCGGCTCTGCAAAGGAGCTGGGGACATTGCCCTGCGGGGACCTGGCCGGGGATCAGGCGCCCACTGGGCCTCGGGCGCAGGGAGCGGAAGGCGTTGGTACCGATCTTCCTCCCAAGACCTCGGGGTGGACCTGGCCTGAGGCCTTCCCTGTGCCCCCTCTTCTCATAGACCATCGACTTTCTGAACGACAACATCCGACGAGGGATCGAGAACTACTACGACGACCTCGACTTCAAGAACATCATGGACTTTGTTCAGAAGCAGGTGAGCCCCGGGGCTGGGGGTCGGGGTACCTCGWGGTCCTTCGTCCCCCCGACTCCCACCTCAGTAGGGGCCCCTGCTCCAGAAGGGAGAGGTGTCAGGGGTCAGGTGACGTCTCCATTCCCAAAGCAGGCGGCTGGCCCAGTTGGGAGGCGTGGCCACCAAGGAAGCAGGGCCCAGCTTGCCCCCGAGTCCTGGCCCAGATGACCGTATCCTACCCGCTCTGGTTACATGGACCCTCGCCTGTCCCCTCCCACCCCCAAATAATCACCCCCACAGCAAGGCCAGGCGGAGCTGCGGGCCACCTTGCAGGGTCCTGGGTGACCCTCCTCTGCGGGACGAGTGGCCTCCCCAGCCCCAGCCTCCTCGGCCGAGTCCCCTGGCTCCAGGGAGCTCASCTGCTCAGGTCGGGACACCCGATGGCCAGCCTCTGCCCTGGCTCGTTCCTCCAGGTCGGGCACAGAGCCACCCCCGCCCCTCACCATGCGTCCTCCAGTGTGATGAGACTGTGCCRTCTGGGTCCCCGTCCTCCCAGGCCCACCCAGCTCTGTTGGTGCCATGGAAGCAGTTGCAGGGCCGCCAGTGTCCCCAGTGTCCCCAGGCGCTCCTGCACCTGTCTCCTTTGGTCCCGGCTCATGGTCCTCATCCCCTGGGCGCTGCCCTGAGGGTCACCCGACTTCTCTCAGGGATGGAGCCAGGCACAAATGGAGGCCTCGGCGCGTGCCAGCGGCGAGGCCGTCCTCACACTCTCCTGGTTGAGGCCGGCAGGGTTTGGAGGCTGCAGGMCCACTCGGCCCTGGTGGCCTGTCCTGGGACGTGACCTTGGGGGTGGGCTGGCCCTTGAGGACCAGCCTCTCGGCACACCCAGGGCCCTTGGCTCAGAGCTTCTCTGTGGTCAGAGCAGGTGCAGCTCTGGGAGCCCTTGCTGCCAGGCCGTGCCTGCCAACGCCCGCTGGAGCGTCAAGTCAGACTCCAGGGAGAGCAAGATGTTTTTATTGGAACCAGCCTCTTGCTGGCACGGGGACTCCATCTCCTGGGTGGGGCAGGGCTGACCAAAGCTCACTGGGCCCCTGCTGTGCCCAGCCTCTCTGGTGATCACAGCTTAGCTCTGCAAAGCTGCTGTTGCTCTTCCTGCTCTATAGAGGAGAAWTTGAGCCCAGAGCGGCTGATTGACTTACCTGTAGTCACACAGCTGGGAGTGGCAGTATGAGGATTTGAAYTCGGGCAAAGCAGATGTCCCTTGAACTGCACAGAGGCACTTACAGATCCAGAAAGCTGATGGCCTAAGAGGCACTATGGGGGCTCTGGAAGGGTGTCTGGTTTCTGTTTCTACCAGGACCTCCTACTGAAGCTCTCCCCAGGGATGCTCTCTGCTCCTGGACCTAATCCCAGCTCCCYGCTTGCTCTGGCTCCTTCTCATGACCTGCCACTCACTCTGTTCCAGACTCRCTGGCTTTTGTGCCCACTGCTGAAGTACAGGCTCGTTTCTGCRCAGGGCCTTTGCACATGTCAATGGGCTTATCCTTATTTACTTTTCAGATGAAATGTCCCCTTCTCAGAGTGGCCTTTCTGGACCTCCCAACCTGTAGCCCCCCCGCCCTGCTCCCCCCCCCACCTGTCTCTTGTGTCCAGGGTGCACAGAACCCCACCTGATCTTTTCACTTAGCAYCTACTCTGTCCCCCTCGGTACTTTTGCTCACCCCTTTCTGCCCAGAGCCCCGAACAGAATCTGGCTCTGCCCTGCACTCCTCAGAGCTGCGCCTGCTGCCCACGGGGCTGACACAGGTGCAGGGGAGGGCGTGGGGGCTGACCTGAGGGAGAGCCGGGGCAGCTGCACGCGCCCCAAGGTCAGTGGACAGGGACTTCCACAGATTCATGGTCTCTGGTGCCGTGAAGGTCCTCCTCCAGCCCAGCGCCTGCACAGGGACACGGGGACACGGGGACACAGGGATGGCGAAGTTGTCAAAGGGGGATTTTCCTTCGGGTGCTCAGGCGCTGCCCTGACCCGGGGGCACTCACTGCCCCCCGATGGCTGAGCCGCTCGGGGACAGCTCTGACCCCACAGCGCACAGCCGATGCCCTCTAGGGCTCCCTGCCTCAGGGCGACCCCCGCGGCAGACCGCTGTCCCCTGGCCCCTTCCTGCCACCCGGCCTCCTTGGCAGTGATGGCTCCCTGTCCCATTGTGTCCTCCTCAGTTCAAGTGCTGTGGCGGGGAGGACTACCGAGACTGGAGCAAGAACCAGTAYCACGACTGCAGCGCCCCCGGGCCGCTGGCCTGCGGGGTGCCCTACACCTGCTGCTTCAGAAACACGGTAGCTGCTGGGGGKCCCGGGGAGCACCCCGTGCTCAGATCCCGGGTCCGGGTGGTGGGGTGATGGGGGCCGGAGGTGGTGGCCAGAGCCGAGCTTTCCTGAGCTCCCAGGGCTCCTGCAGGGGCAGCCGGGGAGGGTGCCGCCTCGTGAGCCAGGTCAGTTGGCCTCTGTTGGGCACGAGCCCTTTGGTGGGGTGAATTTACTTTCCACTTAWCAGCCTGTGAGCAGGCCCTGGGATTGTCCCCACTTTACAGATGGGGAAACTGAGGCACTGGAAGGTTGGGCGTCTTGTCCAGACTTGGCAGGGCTATCGGGTAGAATGCCCGCAGCTGTGCCCTGGAGAGCTGAGGGCAGGGAYGGGGCAGGGGCAGCTTCCAGGCCGGGCAGCTGCTCCACGGTGCTAGCTGTTAGCGGCAGGAGGAGKGGGCCCTGGCAGGGGGTGTCTCCCGTGACCTTGGGCTAGAGGTTCTGGGAGTCGCAGCAGCAGAGCACTGGGAGAAGTGGGTCTGGGGGTGTGAATGCCCGCTTCTGCCTCTCCCTCCCAGCACACCCCCCTCAGCTGTCACCTCCTGAGTCCCCTGGGCTGCTGTCCTATGCAGTCACTGCCTGTCAGTCCTCGGGTGGAGCCAGTGTGCGCAGAGCTGCCTGGTTTCTGGATCGGAATGGAGCGGACGGCGTGGCAATTACTCAAGCCACCAAGAGTCATGGAAAATTCCCCGCTGACACCTCCGCTCTGTGCCCGCGGGTTCTGTAAACGGAGCAGCGGCGGGCGGGGGCCTCGCCCTGAGCCGGAGCCAGGGACAGTGCATCACCCTAAAAAAGGCCAGGCCAGGAGGGGAGCCKGCATGGCACGTCCAGCTGCCATTTTAGGGTAGATCTCTGGGCAGCGGGAGAGCCGGGGTTTTCAGAGACCTGAGAGGTTCGTCCAGGGCTCTAAAGTGGCAGAGAAGGAGCTGGATCCATTGAGGGTGATGCCGGAGGCCACAGTGGCCTCTTCTGTGACAGTGACACACATGGCCCCCGGCATTCACTTAGACATAGAGGGACACGTGGACGGGCTGGGCCTGGGGGCCACCTCTCTCCCCTTGTGAGTGGAGATGGCATCAGGCAGGGCACAGGTGGTGACGAAAAGTTCCCCTGCAGCCTGTGCCCTGGCGCCTGTCTGGAAGGGATGGGACAGGGCCTGGTCACAGCTGTCTCTGTGCCTGAGTCGACCAGCAGCCGGGAGCCCTGGGGCCAGCTCTTACAGTGCTCTCGCTGCTGAGGCCGTTGTGGCAGGGACGTGTGGCCAGTGGCCCAGGGAAGGGTGGACCCCGCGGCAGGGTCCCAGCTGTGGTCTGAGGTTTCCCTTCATGGGAACCAGTGGAGCAGGAAGAGCCCGGCCCCAGCCTCTTAGAGGYGTCTGACCATAGTGGCTCTTGGAACAGCTGGGGATCCTGGGACAGCACCGCCTGGCTTCTGCGGGTGGAGGGGACAGTTTAGGCACAGACTAAAGCCGGGCCACTTGGGCAGACCCTCGGCTCCCTCCTAGACGGCGCAACTCTCTGGGCCTCAGTCCTTCCAGCTGTAAAATGGGTGATTAAGGGTCTTAGTGTGCGCCCTGGAGGGTTACCGGTCACACCTTTCTGTTTCAGACAGACGTTGTCAACACCATGTGCGGCTACAAAACCATCGACAAGGAGGTAACGTCTTTGAAMTTCCTTTGTCCCAGAATTTGGCTCTTCCTGTCCCTCCCCCAGGGTGACAGAGGGGTTTCCAGAGGTGGGGTTCCTGCTGTAGTGACTCCCCACACTCCTGGCTGTGAGCCGGGGACAGGCCTGCCAGACCCAGAAGGGCTCAGGGAGCCAGGAGTCCTCGCGTCCCTGGGTCTGGGGGAGGCCTCCTGCCAGGGTTTGCTGAGCACCTAGTTCAGTCTTGTGCACGAGAGACGGTGGCCCTTGCAGGCACCCCCTGAACACTGTGTCCCTGGCTCTGCCCCCTCCCAGCCTGCTTCTGCCCTTGGAGTTGCCAGTTTGCAGACAGCTCACCTCTGCCTGAGACCCAGGAGGACAGTGAGCCCTGGGGGTACCCCGGGGTCAGCTTCCTGAGCAGTGGGGGTCCCTGCAGCAGCGGCCCTGGGGGAACACATGAGAAAGCGCATCATTTGGGAGCATTTCAGATGTGGGGGTTTGGATTGGGGATGCWCAACCTTTATAATCATTATTTGATTTACATAGTAGTCGTTCTAGAAGATTCCTTGTCTATTAAAGCCATGCCCCMAAACCCCCTTTTTTCTCCCTCTTACATACCTGGAGTTAGGCTTTTGGCTCAGGTGGCCGTGGGCAGGCCAGGGGTCCTTCTGAGAGGCGTGCACAYGGGCGAGTGTTTGTGGACTAGGGTCACCCTGAGCTCTGCAGTCCTTCAGTGCCCAGCCCCAATCATTTGGACACCAAGGTGCCACCGTGTCCCCAGTGCTCTCTAGGGGAGTGGTACTAGAGAATCAGTGGTCTGCGGCCGTCTTCCCACATTGTATGGGAGAAGCGGAGGCCCAGAGTGGCCAAAGGATTGACCTGGACCTCTGGTGAGTGGCAGAGGGGACGTGCTGTCGGGCTGACCAGCCTCCCCCCTGCAGCGCCTCAGCGTGCAGGACGTCATCTACGTGCGGGGCTGCACCAACGCTGTGCTCATCTGGTTCATGGATAACTACACCATCATGGCGGGCCTCCTGCTGGGCATCCTGCTCCCCCAGGTGGGAACCCCAGGGTCCCCTGTGCAGCCGGGTGATTGCAGGAGTAGTGCGGGAAAGGAGGGGGTGGGGGGGCTCTGGGAGGGCTGGAGGAGAGGCCGGGAGGCTGGAGCGTGGGGTCTTGAGCTCTCTGAGGTGCTTCACAGGCACCTTCTCCTCCGGCTYTCTGTGAGGGAGTGGGATGATCATTCCCATTTTACAGAGAAGGAAACTGAGGCTTGGCGAGGTGAAGTGACGTGCCTGAGCCCTGCTAGATGGGCCACGGCAGAGCTGGGTGGGGAGCAGGTTCCCAGTCTGCAGGGGCCCTGGCTGGTGGGACCCAGGAGGCCTCTGAGGTTTCTGGGGGGCCCGGGGAGGCCCAGGCTGGGGCTGCTGGGTCGTGGGGTGCAGGGAGGAGCTCCCRGGAGAGCTCCGCACTGGCTGCTCGTGTTTCTGGAGCTGGGACCTGCCAGGGAGGGCCGCCTGGGGGCCAAGAGGCTCTCCCCAACCTGCTCCTCCTCCTCAGTTCTTGGGGGTGCTGCTGACGCTCCTGTACATCACCCGCGTGGAGGACATCATCATGGAGCATTCTGTCACTGACGGACTTCTGGGCCCGGACGCCAAGCCCAGCGCGGACACAGCGGGCACAGGCTGCTGCTTGTGCTACCCCAATTAGGGCCAGGGCCTGGACACCCACTCCAGCAGGACCTGGCTGGGTGGCACCTCTCAGTCCACTTAGTGGCTGGACAGGACTGCACCACGGCCCTGTGCCCGGGTGGAGTGCCCCTGTGGGCGGCTTCTCCAGGCCACACACTCTGGGTTCCGTGCCCACCCTGCCAGGAGAGAGAGCGTGGCGTCCCTGCTCCGGATCTGGGTCATGAGGGAAAGAGGAACTCGGGGCTCAGCTCGGGGCCCACTTTATTTCCGGCGGTGCCCTGGGATTGCGGTCAGTAGGCCCCTTCAAGGGCAGTTCTGCTGTGATTTGCCAGTCTGGGGAGACAGTGGCAGGAGGGGCAGGGGGTAGCCCTCCCATGCCCCAGATCAGGTCGGGCCGTTTCTCAGCCTCCGTAGGTGCCTTCAGCCCTCTGCAGGGGCAGCTGTTTTGCTGACCTGTTTTCTATGTGAGTTTTGTAACATTCATGTTCTGTGCAGAGTTCACAGGACTTTCTGACTGTGCAGAGCCGGGCATTTTCCCGCTTTGGCTCCAAGTCAGTTCATTAATCAAACAATAAAGACAAGATTTTTTTTTTTTTGTCTTTCATTGCTGTTGCTTTGGTGGGGAGGGGAGGAGAAGGTGGGCTCAGCCTGGACTTGGAAGCCCCTCGTGAGGGCAAGGATAGGAGGAGGACCACCTAGGGGTGAAGATTTGGTAGTTTGGAACTCGGAGACCAGGGAACATCTCAGAGGGGGAGGCAGAGAAGACGACTACACCCATTTTACAGATTGGGAAACTGAGATTGGGTGATGCATAGCATGCAGTCCCACGATGAGGAAGCAGGACAGTCAAGGGTCTGGGGAGGAGCAGCGCCTTCAAACCCACCTGGGCCTTTACAAACTGTAAAAGTGCAAGTATGTTTCTCCGACTCTGCGGCTGGTGCCAAGGAAAGCTTGGTGCCGATCGCCCCCTGCTGGAGAAGCCAGGGATTGCACACCCCAGTCCACCACTCTCCTCCCCAGGGGAGGTTCTTGGTAACCAGGGCCATGGAAATAAAACGGCAAGCAGACCTCACCGGGTGCCAGGAGCTTGTCTGGACGTTTTCTAAACACGGCCTCCTCGCTGGTAGTTCTTGCTGTCTCCGTTTTGTGGATGGGGAACTGAAGCAGGGTGGGGACGTCCCTTGCCAAGGCCTGTGGCTGGCCGTGCAGCCGCTGCTGCCTCCCCGGCTCTGTGTGCACCTGCCTCTGGGCGTGCACGGCCAGGTGTGGCTGGGCTGCCATGTCCTGCCTCCCATGACGGGGCCGCTGCAGCCTCTGCTCGGCCTCTGGTCCCCGTGTTGACCCAGACACCGGGCCAGGGCAGGCTCTGGGTGACTGGTGGCCTCACGACCCCAGCTGCACTCTGGGAATTCTCTCAGTGCCCATAAGAGAGAGGGTGAGTGCCTTTGGGGACAGCAAGATGGCAGAGGCCCTGAGGAGGGCTTGGGGCTGCTCTGGAGTCTGCTGGTGCAAGTCAGGTTAGGGCTGAGGACGGGCTCAGTGGAGACCACCCAGTGCGTGAGGCCCTGGGTTCCCACCTGGCCCTGCAGGTAATCATAATAGTGTTACTCTGAAAGCTGGAGACCAGGGCACCTTGTATTTCCCTTTCCAGGGTCACTCTTTCCAATGGCCACTCCTGTGCTGTGGCGAGACGCCCTGCTCCTGCCCCTTTTTGTGCTCCAAGGTCACCGTCATCACCTTGCCACCTTGTCTCACTGAGGAATGGCCCTCCAAACGGGGGCTTTTTCCAAACCCTAGCACACAGAGGGAATGCCAGTGTTTGTGCCATCCACCATATGTGTGAAAGCAGAGGAGATTGGTGGGTTTCAATTTTAGGATTTTTTTTTTGTTGTTGTTGTTAGGAGAAAAAAATGCATTAAGGAAAACTCACAGGACAAACACTCCAAAGACAACTGGATTTTTTAAATTGAGGTACACATAAATAAATTGTCTATATTTAAAATGACAAACATAGGTGTCCAGGAAACCTTCAACGCAGTCAAGATAACCGGCATGTCCACCACCTTGAAGACCTCCTCCTGTCCCTTCAGAATCCTTTATCACCCTCCCAGCATTGCCCTCCCCAGCCAGCATCTACTTTCTCCATTAATTACTTCAAATTTTCTATCATTTTATAAAAGTGGGTTTATACATGGCCGGGCATGACGCTGCACGCCTGTAATCCCAGTGGTGCTGGAGGCTGAGACGGGAGGATCGTGAGTTCAAAGCCAGCCTCAGTAAAAGTGAGGCGCTAAGCAACTCAGTGAAACCCTGTCTCTATATAAAATATAAAAAAGGGCTGGGGATGGGGCTCAGTGGATAAACACCCCTACCTTCAATCCCTGGTACCAAGAAAAGAAAAGARGAAAAGTGGGTTTGTATAGTATGCACTCTTTTTTTTTTTCTGCTTCCTTCATTTGACACAATTAAGATTCATTCATTTTGTAGCATATATCAGTAGTTCCTTCTTGTGTCATTGTCTATGTAATTGTCCCATCCATCGAATGGAGTTAATTTAGCTCCTCACCAATTGATGGAGAGTTATGTTGCTTACAATTTTACCATTACGACAAATAAAGTTGGGCTGGGTTGTGGCTCAACGGTAAAGCGCTTGCCCAGCACGTGGGAGGCCCTGGGTCCGATCCTCAGCACCGCATCAAAATAAATAAATAAAATAAAGGTATTGTGTACATCTACACCTAAAAAAAAAAATTTAAAAAACACACAAAACAGTTGCCATGAACATTTGTGTACATGTCTGTATGAAAACATGCTTTTATTTCTCTTYAATAAACACCGAAGAGTGGAATGGCTGGATCGCCTGGTAAGTGTCTGTCTATTTAAGAAACTTCCCAACTTCTGTCCAACAGAGTGGCATGATTTTATGTCCCCACCTGCAGCTCCCAGAGTCCCAGTTCCTCTACACCTTGACAGCACTTGGCATGGTCAGCCTGAATTGGGATCATTMTAATCGGTCCATGGTGATATTTCACTGGGGTGGTGAATTGCATTTCCTTAACAATTGTGCTGAGTATATTTTCATGGGTTTATTTGCCATCCATATAATTTCTTTGGTAAAGCATTTATTGAAAGCCTTTCAAAAATTATTTTGTTTTCATATTATTGAGTTTTGAGATTTTTTWATATTATATTCTGTCTGCAAGTTCTTTTTTTGTTTTTTTCTTGGTACCAGGGATTGAACCCAGGGGCATTGAACCACGGAGCCACATCCMCAGCCCCTTTTTTATTTTATTTAGAGACAGGGTCTGAGTTGCTTAGGGCCTCGMTAAATTGCTGAGACTGGCTTTGAACTTGAGATCCTCTGGCTTTAGCCTTCCACGCCACTGGGATTACAGGTGTGCAGGATGCAARTTCTTTATCAAATATATATGATCTGCAAATATTTTCTCCCAGACTGTGGCTTGTTTTTTCATTTTCTTAATGGTGTTTTTCAAAAAGCATAAGTTTTTTCTTTGGGGGGGGGTAGAGGGCGGGTACAGGGGTTTGAACCCAGAAGTGCTCTGCGACTGAGCTATGTGTGTCCCCAGGCCTTTTTATTTTATTTATATATATATATATATATAGAGAGAGAGAGAGAGAGAGAGACATGGTTTCACTCAGTTGCCCAGGTTGACCTTGAATTTGCAATCCTCCTGCCTCAGCCTCTCAAGTCTGGATCACAGATGTGCACCACTGTACGCAGCAAAAGAAGCAGAAGTTTCTAACTTGATGAAATCCAGTTTACCAATCTTTCTTTTGGGGGCATCTCGTTTTTGGTGTGATAGCTCAGCAATCTTTGCCTAACCCAAGGTCACGGAGGTTTTCTCCTGCATTTTCTTTTAGCAGTTTAGAGTTATGTCAGTATATAAAATGATGATGTTTAAGTCAGTGGTTCATTTTGAGTTTGTGTTTTGAATGGTACAGAGTATGGGTCAGAGTTGACTTATTTTGTATGTGTAGATCCAATTGCTCCAGCCGGGCCTAATGTCATAGATGGGTTTTTCACTGATGCATTTATCCATTCACGGATGCATTTATCCATTCCCAGTATTCTAGTATTTCTCATTTATTGAGAATCCTTATCAAGACTGGATGTTGGATTTTGTCAGATGCTTTTTTGCACCTTTCAAAATGTGTTAATCTGGTGGGTTCTACCATTGATCTTCTGATGTTAAATCAACCCTGTATTCCTCGAATGGGCCCGAGTGTAGCTCAGTGAGGACCTACCACCCTTTCAATATATCGTTAGATTTAATTTGCTAAAATTTTGTATAGAAACTCTGCACCTTGGTTCAGGAGGGCGGGCTCTCACCGGATCTCCTTCGGTTTTGCAGAGCTGGGCTGCCTTCGTAGAATTCCGTAGAAAGTATTCCCCTTCCTATTTGATTTTCTGAAAGAGTTCGTGTTGAACTGGAATTATTTCTTGCTTAGAAGTTTGATGGAATTCACCAACGAAGCCACCTGGGCCTGGAGTTTTCTTTGAAGGAAGATTTCCTAACTTTGAAGCCAGTTTCTTTAGTGGACATAGTCAAGGCACTTAKGTCCTTTCTCTCTTCCTGAGAGCCTGCCCCATTGAGTCCTTCAAGGAATTCATCCACTCATCCCAGTGGTCCCATTCGGGGGACACAGCATTGGTGGTAACATTTCCTTTTACCCTGGAATCTACAGTGATGTCATTTCTCATTTTCCTGACGTTGGTCATTTTCTCTCTTTTCCCTGCTGAGTCTGGTTAGGAGTTTTTCATTGTATGGATCTTCTCAAAGAACAGGCTGGACCCTATTGACAAGCTACGATTACTCCATCTTGAAACTAACGTCAAAGCACCGCTCTCTGATCTTACCCCACCCCCACTCCCTGTCACACACAGAGGACACTCTGAAAGAGTGCCCACCCCATTCACTTTTTTTTTTTTTGGTACCAGGGATTGAACCCAGAGGTGCATATCCTCTGAGCCACATCCYAGCCCTTTTTTTATATCTTATTTAGAGACAGGGTCTCACTGAGTTGCTTAGTGCCTCACTATTGCTGAGGCTGGCTTTGATTTGCGATCCTCCTGCCTCAGCCTCCCCAGACTCTGGGATCACAGGCGTGCGCCACCACACCCAGCCTCATTCACTCTTGAGCCTCCCGATTAGACCCTTGTCACCACACTGCTACCCAAACTGCCTTTATGACGATCACAGGTGACATKCACCTTGCTAAGCCCAGTGTCCACGTGGCATCCTGACCTCCTGGACTTGCAGCTTGGCCTGCTGGTCATGGTCCCCTCTCTGAGAGCGTGGTCTCGCTGTCTTTCAAGACTCTGCCAGGTCTTTCTTGCTCGGGCGCCCACTCCTTCTGGGTCTCACCTGTCGGCTCCTCCTCTCCAGCCTCTCTGCATTGAGGGTCTCCTCTGCCTTTTCTTGGTGACCTCATCCCACCTTTGAAAACCGTCTCGGAACCTGTGACTCCCACAGTGACCTCTGTCCCTTAGACCAGGCTGACCACTCGGCACCTCCCCTGGGATGTCCAGTGGAGCATCCCAC